TCTGCTCTTTTCTGAACTTATTCCAGTGCCAAGATATTTTTGAGATGAGGTGACTATATCTGTACGCAGTATTCAAGATGTGGGCATACCATGGATTTATATAGGCAATAAGATATTATTTGTCTTATTCTGCATCCCTTTTTACATGATTCCTAACATTCTGTTTGCTTTTTTTGAGTGCTGCAGCACATTGAGTGGATGTTTTCAGAGAGCTATCCACAATGATTCCCCATCATTTTATCATATAGTTAGGATTATGTTTTCCAATAGGTGTAACACTGCATTTATCAGCATTAAAATTCATCTGCCATTTTCCAGCTACACTAGAATCTTTTCCAAACTTCATTCAGAGCAGTTTCTGATTGCTGAGACTGACTTGATCTCCATGACATGTGGATTGCTTCTTATTGCAATTACTTACTAGGGGTATGTCTACACTACCTCGCTAGTTCGAACTAGCGGGGTAATGTAGGCATACCGCCCTTGCAAATGAAGCCCGGGAAATTCAAATCCCGGGCTTCATTTGCAAGGGCGGTATGCCTACATTACCCTCCTAGTTCGAACTAGGAGGGTAATGTAGGCATACCGCCCTTGCAAATGAAGCCCGGGAAATTCAAATCCCGGGCTTCATTTGCAAGGGCGGTATGCCTACATTACCCTCCTAGTTCGAACTAGGAGGGTAATGTAGGCATACCGCCCTTGCAAATGAAGCCCGGGAAATTCAAATCCCGGGCTTCATTTGCAAGGGCGGTATGCCTACATTACCCTCCTAGTTCGAACTAGGAGGGTAATGTAGGCATACCGCCCTTGCAAATGAAGCCCGGGAAATTCAAATCCCGGGCTTCATTTGCAAGGGCGGTATGCCTACATTACCCTCCTAGTTCGAACTAGGAGGGTAGTGTAGACATACCTTGGTACTATGGAGAAATTTAAAAATATTTCAAAAATTATTGTATGATAAAATCTTTAGAACCTCTACAGACAGAAAGTTTGCATCTCTGTAAGCTGCTGGCAATAATGCCTGGGAGATTAAGCCAGTATTACGGGGTGAGTGCAGGCTGATGATACAGGAAAGATTGGCTTCCATATTGAAAATAGGGTTGCCAGATGTCTGGTTTTGAACCGGACAGCCCGGTATTTGAGCTTTCTGTCTAGAAAACAAATTGAGAAAATACCGGACATATAAATGTCCGGTATTTTCCAATTAAGGAAGTTTTATTATTATCATGAGTATCAGTACATAGTTGCGTACTGCTTGAGCATGTCTACCAGGCAGAGAGGAGGGAGGGGGAGCGAAGCCAGGGCCAGTGCCAGACTCGCCCATGCGCCCCACCAGGACCGTGCATGGGACGGGCAGCACCCCAGGATCTGTGTGTGCCTGGGTCAGCCCCTTCCCCCCACACACACTTCCCCCCCAGCCAGCCCTGCTGCCCCCGACTGGGGCTGGAGCACACAATCTACATGTCTTTCCAGGACCAATCACAGTTTGTACTTACAGGACAAACAAGACTATTCACATATCTTTGGTTTGAGTATGGCATCATTAAGTTCCTAAAGTATCACTAATGGCCCTCTTAAGCACACTTAGAATTAACACCAGATTCATACTTCATATGTCAAACTTCACATAGAAGAATAATGCACAAAAATAGGATATGCAGACTGTAACTTAAAAATGTATATATTACAAGATGGATGTTGCATGAGGGCTACCTCTACACTGGCATGATTTTCCGGAAATGCTTTTAACGGAAAAGTTTTCCGTTAAAAGCATTTTCGGAAAAGCGCGTCTAGATTGGCCACGGATGCTTTTCCGCAAATCTAGACGCGCTTTTCCACAAAAAAGCCCCGATCGCCATTTTCGCAATCGGGGCTTTTTTGCGGAAAACAAATCTCTGCTGTCTACACTGGCCCTTTTGCGCAAAAGTCTTTCAGAAAAAGACTTTTGCCTGAACGGGAGCAGCATAGTATTTCTGCAAAAGCACTGACAATCTTACATGAGATCGTCAGTGCTTTTCCGGAAATTCAAGTGGCCAGTATAGACAGCTGGCAAGTTTTTCCGCAAAAGCAGATGATTTTGCGGGAAAAACTTGCCAGTCTAGACACAGCCAAAGTGTTTTCAAGTTATTCATATTCACATTTGTGTAACCCTTCTGCCAGGCTGAGTTAATAGCAGCAAGGGCCGGGTTCAGTATCTAGGGGTCTCCTCCCAACAAGGTAATACAACACTGGCTCGAGCCCCCTCCCAGTGACCTGGGAAATCTTACATACACCTCTGGGTGCCTCAAAGAGGCAATTCTTCCCCTCTCACAATTTCTGGGCATTGTGCGCTGCCGGGATCAAAGGTAACCCCGCCTCCAGGATCACGGCTTAGACCAGGGGTGAGGAGAGTGGAGAGAAGGGGACTCCTTTTGTGGACTCCTTCCCACCCAGTCAACCCCACTCCCTCCGACCCACTCCCGGCCAGCCCCGCTCCCCACCGGCCGGTTCCCCCCTGGCCAGCTCCGCTCTCCCCAACCCCCCCCTTCCCGCCCTGCCAGCTGGTTCCCCTCCCCCAGCCGGTCTCCTCCCCATCCCATTCTGAGATCACATGTGTTCGGTATTTTTTGAAACCCATCTGGTAACCCTAATTGAAAATAACACTAGAGAGACTGCTGCAAGACTCCCAGCCAGGAGGAAATAGTTCTCAGTTGGGAGAGGCTCACTGAATTCTTACAGTGATAGAAATGTAGCCGTGTTAGTCTGGTGTAGCTGAAATAAAAATTAGAATGCACCAATTTCAGAGGTGAATGCTCTAAAGACCCCAGCTGTCTTACCCATTACAAAGATAGCTTCCCCAATTATCACCTCTAATACCATTAGCTCACAGACATTTACCTTCCCCCCTCCCCCGCATCTCCCTTCTGTTCTGAAATGTGATTTGTCCTTTTCATATGTGTTCATTTTTTCTTAATTGTATCCTTTGGTATATATGGTTGTGACTATTTTCTTCCACTATTTGATCTGAGGAAGTGGGTCTGGCCCACGAAAGCTCATCATCTAATAAACCATCTTGTTAGTCTTTAAAGTGCTACATAGTCCTGTATTTTGAATTCTTACAGGGCAGTGCTGTGATAATTGAGCGTGAGAAAGGTTGACATACGAGCTTCTTGGTGAGATCTGATGGTAAAGATCCAGTCATCATGATATGGAAAAAGAAAGAGCCCATGATGCCTGCCATGAACTGCTACCATTGAAAATACCTTGGCGAAGACTCTGCATACACACTGAAAAATCTTTTCTTACCTCTACATATTCTTAGAACTTAATTGAACAAGTGTCCATAAATAGTCCACCTCTGAAATTGGTGCATTCTAATCCTGTCCTCCACATTCCAGAACCTGTCCCAAGCTTAATGTCATTTGTAAATTTTATAAACATACCTTCCACTGCTTTTGCCAAGTCATTAATGAAAACATTGAATAATGCTGGACTCAAGACAGTCCCCTGCAAGACGTCGCTAGATATGTCCTCCCACTCTGACAGTAAGCCATTGATGAGTACTCTTTTAGAAGTTTCAATCACCTATGCACTCATTTTATAGTAATTTAAACTAGATATTTCTCTAGTTTCCTTTTGAGCATGTCATGTGAAAATGTGTCAGGAGCTCCACTTTATTAAAATCCAAATAAATCACATTTACCGTTTCACCCCATCCAGTAGTCCAGTTATCCTGACTAAAAGAAAATTAGATGTACTAAACAAAGAACAGAATCAGTTTTTCAAGGAGTATACAATTCACACATATTTATGGACACAACTAGTGCCACCAAATTACCATGAGGAGTATGAAAGTAATTTTGTAGCAGGGACAATTTATAACCACATATCTATTAGGGATGTCAACGAGTAGTTGACTAGACGATTAACTGATAAGCCTAGGCTGAGAAATGCAGAGCAGCCTCTGTCCATGGGGAGCTCGGACCCCCATGGACAGGAGCTGCTGCCAAAGCAGCCTCCGTGGCAGGCCCAGGCTCACTGTGGACAGAGGAGACTCTGTGGGAGGTGGAGCAGCCTGTGTCTGCGGAGAGCTTGTACCCTCTGTGGACATGAGCTGCTGCTGGAGCACCTCTGTCCATGGGGAGTTTACATCAGGCAGCAGTGTGAGGCAGCAAACGGCCAGTATGTGCAGGGAGCTGGTTTTTAAACTGGCTCCCCTCATAGACCGGCTCCTGCCTGGCACCCTGTGCTGCTGCCTCTGATATGGAAGCAGCAGCATGAGGTGGCAGGGGGCTCCCTGGGAGTGGAGCTGAGAGTGCACTGGCTGCCAGCCCCACCCCTGGGGCTATAGAATAGTTGAGTAGGCACTAAGATTAAATGTGGTTATTTGACTATTCTATTACTCGCTATCTAACATCCCTAATACCTACTTTCTGCAAGAGTGCTACAGAATTCTTCTTGCATTCCCCACTTCGAATTTTTGTGATTGGTGCATAATGTAGGGAGCTTTTTATTAATTATTCATGAATTATTATTAATGAGTTCAGGATACTGAACTTCCAGTATTATGATTCTATGATATTAATTGCTGCAATTAGAGATTTATTATGAAATTGTTCTCTTTTATAGTTTGGTAGTGCACAGGACCCTTACTCCAGATTCAGACAAGTAACAAGAAAGATCTGGGGGGTTTAGTCGTGGTCCACTTGCTTGGTTATATCCCGTGCCCGCCGCATCCCTAGAGTTGGATGCATTTCAGGCTCTGTGTGATTCTTTGACATAAAAATATGTTATATCAATGTACATGAATTATAAGTTTGAATTCACACAGTTTTGTCATTTTCTTAGAAGCTGGAGGTCTCAGTATCTACTGGGAAACCCCAGCTCTTCTAGTTTTAATCTTTCGCATTAGATTTTGAATTACCCAAATACATGTTATTTGGAAACGGTCCCTTGGTGCCCATATCGTCTCTCTTCCAGCGCAGCACCACCACCACGCTCCCTAACTGAAATCCCATCCCAATTCCTAAATTTCCCGCGAGAGTACGAGGTTTCATGAGATCTCCCAGCAGCCTTTGCTCTTCCTTTTCCCCGGTGCGGGCGGCCATTGAGGTGAGTTTGCTTTGGCTGCTGCGTCTGGCTGCCTCAATCCACCGCTCCTCGGCGCCATCCTGCTCTGGGAGTCCGAGAAAGGCTCAGCCGCCTGCCGGCACCGATATTTCCGTGCCCGGGGGCTGCCACAGGGAGGACGGGGGAAAGGGGAGCAAAATGGTGGACTTGAGTGTCCCCCGCATGGAGGCTCCGAAAGACCCGGATGTACCCGCTTGGGTGAGGAGCCAGAGGGACACAGGGCGGCAGTTCCTGTGTCGGGGAGAGAGGCCGCGGTGAGGGGCTCGGAAGTGGAGGTGAGGTGAGGGGACCGGGCCGGCTCACTGTAGCGGAAGGTGGGGATTGGATTGGCTCACTAGCGGGATAGGGGGAGATTGGGCTGGTTCATTGTAACCTCAGGCGCTCTCTATACGTGGCACTAGAGTGGGTAAGAGTCCTACGCACCCACCGCTGAGTTGTGCGGGAGAGTCAGGCTGCCCCGCGCTAAAAACAGCACATTAGCTAGCAGGACCATTTGCGTTGCGTGTTCTTACGCCCAGTGTCATGGCTGTAGTATCTGAGCACCCTGGTGCCCAATGCACTCAGGCTGAAATGTTAGAGCAGATTTATATCTGAACCTGTTGGTGGACTAATGTTTTAGAGAACCAGGGTTACAATTACAAGATGTCTGAGTGCATGTATGTATATATGGCTTATATAAGAAGTTTTCCGTGTGGAAATCCATCTCCGATTACACAGAGTATCCTGGACAGAACCCACTTCATTCTCTAGCAGGATTCAGGGAAATCCAGGATATTTTAGTATTGTTTTACAACTTTGATATAGGTGAGAGGATTATTCTAAGAGGGGTGGTTGAGATTCTGTGGCCTGCACTGTGCAGGGGGTCAGACTAGATGATCATAATGGTCCCTTCTGACCTTAAAGTCTATGAATCTATGAATAAGCCAAAATGTGAGTGGTTTGTGAAAGGAGTAGGTTTTAAGGGCATATTTATAGTGTTTACCCTCTGCAAATATGCATTAGGGTTTATATTCTAATTTGTATTAGCTGATACAGGAGCTGTTCTTAAAAAGTTGCTTTTATGAGAAGATTGTGACTGCAGTGATGATTTTCTTGGGTTGTTTTGGGATTAGTCATGAAAGGAAAATGGATTTCTGTGCAGCAGCTCTTATCAGCTGTCTCCACCACACTAAGAAATAGCATATTAGATACAACTTTGAAATATTCTTCATTAATGTTTTCACAGTTAAGATTGGAAAATGGTCCGCTACTCACTTGATCCAGAGAACCCTACAAAATGTAAGTGATTTTTAAATGTACATTGCACTTGCCAGAAATTGATGAAGAAGCTCTGTAACTTAAATTTTAATTTTTGTTTCCTTAGCATGCAAGTCAAGGGGTTCTAACCTTCGAGTCCACTTTAAGGTATGCAGATTGTGTGCTTGGATTTTTTTTCTGAGATTATAAGGAATAAAAAGAAATGCTTTTCTCCATTGCATTTTGGTAAAGCTACTTATTTTGTTGTTTGTATGCTTAGGGGTACAGACTTCTGAAGTGCATTAACTTTTAAATATCATTAAAATTTGGCTGTTAAAGAAGTCATTTATGCCCATCTTACCTATGTTCTACTAATTGTCAAGGCAAAATATTTGAATAATTGCTGTGTAATATCTGGCTACTTATAAAAAAATGTTCTTTAGGTTTGGAGAAATAGTGTTGTGTGGCTGCAGTGATGACTTTCTTAAGACACCTTTGGATTAATCATGAAAAGAAAATTGAATTCTGAGCAGCTACTTTTCCATAGATTGTTTAATCAGTCATGCATCTTCTTAATTTGATAGCTATTAATTCACACACGCCCTTTAAATTTTGTATATGGCTTTGAAATTAACATGGTTTCCTTGATTTTTTTTTTTAGTTATTATTTTGGTGCAGTTCTGAGAATAGGGATTAACTAGAACTTGGTCTCCTGGCTATTTGGCTCAAAAGTAATGGATTAAATAGTATTAAATCAGCCAAATCCCCACCATAATACAAGGATTGCGTTATTTGAATACTTTGTATCTGAACTAGTTGTTGAATATTTGTAACTTTTTACACTCCATTTTGGCAGACATTGTCCAAATATCACTAGTGGTGTATTTAATAAAGACTGTAGTCAAGGGTGTGGTCACAGTTCCTTGAAAGATGTGGTCCTATACTGTGACCTAAAGGAACTGCTGCTAGATTATACAAGAACCACAGAACTGCCAATTGAAGTGGCCAGCGGATGAGCTCATGGGAGTAGGAAGTACAATATTTATAAGCCAGTTCATGATTGTGGAATTCACTAGCAGACATATGTCTGCTAACCTCTTTGCATTTAAACTAAATAAATATTTTTCTTTGATTTTATTAAGCTCTGCTGTCACAAATTAAGGCACAAAAATAAACTATTTTGATAAGGGTGGTCTTAGTAGAACCAAGATGAGGGTGTGTTCCTATGGGAGGCATGGAAGAGTGTTTGTGGAAGGAACAGAAGGTGTGGGCCTGTCCCCCATGATGGTGGGAAGGTCGTGATCCCCAGCCTTGGTGTGGCTGTGTGCTCAACCAGGATTGTAGCTGCTGGTCCCCACCTTAGCTCAGCTCTTGCTATGTAACCCCAGGCCAGGCCCCACCACTACTCTAGGAACTGCTCTGGGGGATGGGAGTGTATGACCCTAAAGAGTTTGGGGGCCACTGGCCTAGATGGAATGCAACAGTACTTAACATTGACGAGAAAAGAGAAGCTTACGCATGAATGAACAATATTTGTCTGTTTTGTTGCTAGAATACTCGTGAGACAGCCCAAGCTATCAAGGGCATGCATATCCGAAAAGCCACTAAGTACTTAAAGGATGTGACCCTGAAAAAGCAGTGTGTTCCCTTCCGTCGTTACAATGGTGGAGTTGGCAGATGTGCTCAGGTAAGAGTTGAAATTGAGAGTCTTCCCAAATTCCAATCTTATGGTAGAAGAGGGTTAGGTTACATTGTGTGTATCCCACCATTGGTGACAAAAAATGCTGTGTTTAGATAAATAAAAAATAAGCTCAGTCTAGTCCAGTGGTCCCCAACCTTTTGGGGCTGCCAGGCATCTGGGGGCGGGGCTGCTCATGCACCACACGTCCGGGGGCAAGGCTGCAGATGTGCCACAGGGCTGGGGGTGAGGCCGTGCATGCGCCAGGGGCCAGCACCAGCATGTGCCGTGCGCTCAAGGCAGGGGCAGCCCATGCGCCTTGTGTCTGGGGCCGGCACCAGCATGCGCCCGGAGGCGGGGCCGGCCCAGATTGTTCCACGGATGCACTTAAATGCCCCAGCGGGTGCCATAGTGCCCGTGGGCACCATGTTGGGGACCACTGGCTAGTCTAATGAATATAAGCGGCCATATAACTTCCCCTACTTGACAACCTTTGCTTAGGAGATCTAGTCATTAACAGAGCTGTAAGTCAGAACTAATGTATTCGGACATTGGCGTGGCTGATTTCATTTACTGCACTCAGGTTTAAAAACAAAAAGTGTACACAAAGCCAACTTGGACATTTGTATAAAATGAGAAGACATATTTTGTCTGGATACTGGTAAATGGGAATAAAAAACTTTGGGGGGCGGGGTAAATGCATCTGGAAAGGAAATAATTATTTTGGTGCCTTGGTTGAAAAAGCAAAAGGACTTAATTGTTTGGTTTAGAATTGTTTGTTAGAGTCGTGTATTTGTGGTTGCTGTGATGACTTTCTTAGGACACCTTTGGATTAACCATGAAAAGAAATGTGTAGTCTGAGCAACCTTTCAAAAAACAAAACAGGTGATTGGTCTTGTTTTGCGTACAACTAAACTCTTAATGTTGTTCCAGGCCAAGCAGTGGGGCTGGACACAGGGGCGTTGGCCTAAAAAGAGTGCAGAGTTCCTGCTGCACATGCTCAAAAATGCTGAGAGTAATGCTGAACTCAAGGTAGGTTAAAATGCAAATGGATGTGTCCAGTTTAAAATAGTGGTCCCCAAACTGTGGGGCATGCTTGCAGGAGGCATGGCAGGCCCTGGACCAGTCCCCATGTGGGGACCCGTAGTTATCTCTAAGTTTATTACACATTGAAAACTTGTATTTTGTTTATAATGTTCTCACTAAATTGTAGTGATATGTGGTGGCAGTGATGACTATCTTAGGACACCTTTGGAATAACAATGAAACAAACTTCATGTCTGAGCCATCATATTTTTGAATATTTTTTTGTAAAAGGCAGTGAGCAGTTGGTTACCTGTTAGTGAACTCTTCCATTTTATACGGGTTGAACCTTGCTGATCCGGCAACCTCTGGTCTGGCTTGATTTTAGTTAGTGTGGTGTCCACTTATCATTGACGTTGCCAGGTTACAGCCACCAGTTCTGGTGCTCAATATTCTGTGCTGCTGCTTAGTTCCATTTACCCCTTACTGTTTTCTAAAACCCAGTAAGCAATTGAAGTGTTGGCAATGCTGCCAGACAATACTGACATCCCATAGTTGGGCAAATTCTCTGGTTCAGGGTACGTCTAGACTACATACAGGCTTTTGTCGACAGAAGTTTTGTCGACAGTAACTGTCGACAAAACTTCTGTCGACAAAGAGCATCTAGACACATTCAGTTCTGTCGACAAAGCAAGCTGCTTTGTCGACAAAACCCTGTAGTCTAAACACAGCCCTACATGTAATAACACCTTCTGTTGACAGAACGCGTTATGCCTCGGAAAATGAGGTTTATCAGCGTCGACAAAACGGCTGAGTGTAGACGCAGGTATAGTTTTGTCAACAAAAGTCCACTTTTGTCAACAAAACTCTGTAGTCTAGACACACCCTCAGTGTTGACCATGGTACTGGACTAGAGAGGTTTAACCTGTAAATGCCTAAAACTGCTATGCACTTTTGTGAGATTAGCCATGATAAAATAGCATGTTTCCATTCATAAAATTTTTCAGTTTTATTCACCAATATTTCACAAAAATATTTCTTTCATAGAAGAAAATAAACCGAGACTAAATCTTACAAGTTTCTATTGCTTTTTTCAGGGTCTTGATGTGGATTCTCTGGTAATTGAGCACATCCAGGTCAATAAGGCCCCCAAAATGCGCAGGCGTACCTACAGAGCTCATGGTCGTATCAACCCCTACATGAGTTCTCCCTGTCATATTGAGATGATCCTCACTGAGAAGGAGCAGATTGTTCCAAAGCCAGAAGAGGAAGTTGCTCAGAAGAAAAAGGTAAGATAACAAGTTTGAATTTAACTTGCGATTTTCGGATCAAATGGTTGCTATGATCACTCGTAGCCCATTTTTGGAATAATCATGAAGAAAATGCATTGTGAGCAATATGAAGTATTACAATTTAAATACAACCGAACATGGAATGATTCTCCACAACTTCACTGAAAAAGATGGTTTCATTTGTGTGCCTTTCAGTCTCTGATTTAAAAATAGTACTTGGAATTGTTCCTGAAAACTTCATGATGATGATGTCCGGATAAAGAGAATTATTTGGTTGTATTAAAATGGCTATCTATTGAAATAGTCTCAGTAAAAGGACAGCTTGTTAAATAGAACAGAGTTAGGGTGTTCCCCTTTCTAAGGTTTTCATATCTTTCCTGTGAAGATGAGAATAATGGCCTTACAATCTGCAATGTTGTAGCAAAGTTGGTCTCAAGAGACACAAGCTGGGTGAGGACCAACTTCTATTAAGACAAGCTTTCAAACTACTCGGAGTTCTTCTTGAGGTGTGGGGAAGGAGCTAAGAGTGTCACAACTAAATGTAAGGTCAAATAGATAGTTCATAAGTAGTTAGCATATATTCCAGTAAGGAACACTCCAGGTGAACTGACCTGTTGAAGTATCCTTATAGGACAAAAGGGGTGGGGTTATTGGGTTACTGACTTTTTGTAATCATAAATCGTAAGATCATGATTTTTAGTGTCTACCAAAGTTTAAAATAATTCTATGCTTGTCTTCTTAACGTGTTTTGCATTTTTGAGGATGAGGGTGGATAGGTCAGATATAGCGTGTTGGTATAATATCCTTGGTAGGTCAGACTTCCATTCTTCCCTTTTTTATTTTTCAGATATCTCAAAAGAAGCTGAAGAAGCAGAAACTTATGGCTCGGGAGTAAATCTGACATAAGATGTACATAAATAAAAAAGAAAACTTAGATTGTATTGTATGCACTTCTTTTTTTGAGGAATTGACTTTTTTCAGGGTTTTGCTTTGTTGAGCATAACTGATAATATTTACCAGGGTTTTTTGCCCTACTTAAATATTTGCTTGTTATTATTTTGGATTCTTTAAAACTCTGCTTTCAGCATCTTTAATGTATGTACCTGGTAAATTGACTTGCATTCATGCCATGCTACATGCAAGTGCAGCACAAAGTGGGCAATATCAAATACCACAGGTGAGTCTTTACGAAGAAAAATTGAATACTTCAGCTTTTCCTAGAATTCCCTACTATCAAAACTTACCATGCTTTTTAAAAAGGCTTGGAAGTATAAAGATCCTCAAAGAGCATTTACCACAATTCACGTATTGCACGTCGCTACATAGCTTCAAATCACTATACTTCACATCCATTCATTGAGAAAAGCCATAAATCTGCAATGATGATGCAATTATCTTAACTTTGAGACCTGACCATAGAACATAGACCACTAGAACTGGAAGAGATCATTGAGTCCAGTCTCTTGCCCTCATGGCAGGACCAAGCACCATCTAGACCAGGGTTTCCCAACCTATGGGTCGCCATGACATTTGAAAAGGTCCCCCGCTGGGCTGCTCCACAGCTGGCTTAGTCTTAAGGAGCCAATCAACTGAATTGAATACCATTTCAGTGACTCAGAGAGAGTAGGAAAATATCCCTGGAGGTGGGGGGAAAGAAGTTAGAAAGCTAGGGAACCTAGAGAAGAAACAGTGCTCAGGTAGGTAGGAGTGAGAGGCCAAGTGTCCGGGGGTCTGGTTGAAAGGTTTCCAGCCACCCCAGCCGGGGTTCTCGTGGCTGGCGTTGGCCAGCCTGAATTGAATACCATTTCAGTGACTCAGAGAGAGTAGGAAAATATCCCTGGAGGTGGGGGGAAAGAAGTTAGAAAGCTAGGGAACCTAGAGAAGAAACAGTGCTCAGGTAGGTAGGAGTGAGAGGCCAAGTGTCCGGGGGTCTGGTTGAAAGGTTTCCAGCCACCCCAGCCGGGGTTCTCGTGGCTGGCGTTGGCCAGCCGCACCTGCGGGGGAAGAGGGAGGCGGGGTCCCCCCACTGCCCTGGCTGGGTTTCTCACGGCTGGTTCCCAGTGGGGAGTGGTCTTGTCTGCATCTGCCCCAGGGCTACCTCTGCGCTGGTGAGCTCTGAGTGCCAGGCCTGGGCGGGAGGCAGCTCAGGCCTTTTGGTGTAGTCTGGGAAAGGGGCTGGAATGTGCTCTGTGGGCCTGGGGGTGAGTGCTGGGACTGTGCTGGGGCGGGGGTTGCTAGGGTAGGAGCTGGGACTGCTGGGGCGGGGGGTTGCTAGGGTAGGAGCTGGGACTCTGCTGGGGGGGGAGATTGCTAGGGTAGGAGCTGGGACTATGTTCAGAGCCTGGGGGGAGGGACTGGGACTCTGCTGGGGG